AGGAAAAATCTTCTTGACACAAAGAGCGAGCGAGCGAGCACCCCTGCCGAGAGCAGAGAAACCTGCTGCTGCACTCTGTTCATAATTGGGGCGGGGAGTGTCGTCGATTTTTTGATGATGCAGCACCTCCGTTAACCCACCCCCGCCTCTTGTTTCGCATCTTGGTCCGATCATTCCCAATTCCCGCGATTAAGCACGAACTAGAGATGCTTTTTTCTGGAATGAAGGCCAATTAATTTTAAAAAATACTCCCCAACTAGCTCTAATTCTTTTGAATGTCATTTTTTTGTCATTTTTATTCCTGTTTTCAATTTGCTATGAAAAAGGTATGCAATAGACAAAACTTAAATAAAATTATTATTTTTTTCAAGTCGTTAATTAAATTTTGAATTTTAAGTAATAATTTTAGTTTCATACACACTGCAAAGCTATTATCTTGGGCTGTAGATACATTTGCCGCGTGCTGCAACATTATTAATGATGCGCATTTCTTAATTAATTTAAAAATTTCATAAATTTGACTTAGATATTTTTATCCACGGAGCAATGAGCAATTCAAAGAAACAATGGAGGGAATGTTAATTTTGTAAATTTTATTTTATGAAAAATAATCAAATTAATGATATAAAGATGCAAAGTATGTAAATGCTTTAAAATTACTTTTATGAAAGTTTGCTTTGTTTTGAAACATAATCATGATTTTCTTTTCTTTTCTTTACAGGTAATTTCAAAATCTAATTCCATGTATTTCCTGAAATTAAAAGATAACAATGTTCGTTTGCATAGCATCACTAAAAATTCAGACCCGTTTCGATACGCGACCATTTTTATTCAACCCGACGTCTCCATCCGAGCGCTCTTTTATTGGACTTGAGAATCAAATTGCTGTTAAACGTATCGGAATGAGATTCCCCTGGACCGTTGAGGGTCGGGCTGTGTTCTAGTGCCGAAGCAGCCTCGGCCCAACCAACACGCATTTCTGCACATCAGGGTTATTGAGTGGCGAGTAAGGGTGCTTTATTTGCGTGGCTTATTGGCCATCTGGCCACTCACCCTTGGAAATCTTGCTGCAGCTCAAGTGGTTCTTCCTCCGCCGGTGCGCATTTCATTCCAATGGAGCAGGCAAAAATTTTGATATTAGAGATAAAAACATTAATTTTTAATCAAACCAATTTGAATCCAGCAGCGGGACAAAAAATGAAAATTAAAAATGGGGCAAGCTGGAATTTTTGTTTTTTGGAATGAAATTTAAAAATGATAAGATGATATTGGTGTGGAGAGATAACTAACACTTCTTAAAACTAAAAACATAAAGAATTAAGTAGAATCCTGATATTATTCATAAATTATATTTTTTTTTTTCAATAAAATTTTGTAAAATAAATTAAAAGTAGGACTTCAATTTTAAAAATTACTTTGCAAATTGGTGTTCAATAAATAAATTAAAATTTAATTTTAAATATATAATATTATAAATTAAATTGATAGATAGTTAAAAATTAAATAATTAAATAAATACAATGGTATTTTATATTAAATAAAATAAAATTTTAGAAACTTTAAATTTACCGCGACTAATATATTTTTAAATTATTATTCTCTTGTTTCATTTTTCCGAAAGTTAATGTTGTACTTTATATTTTTATTCAAACTTTATAAGAAACCACTAGGAAATAGAAGCAGTGACCTGATTAAATTCAAACAAGTTATGTTGCAGACAGCAATGCACAGCGGTCAAACCCTGCACAGCGCGCATTCCGCACGCACCTTCCCTGTTCAAATGGAAAGCAGACCCTCTCCAAGATTAATTCCGAAGAAATGAATTCCCGCTCGCGTGTGCTCCGAGTCGCAAGAGCTTCGCTCACTTTTTGTCGCGAATCACATTTCTCTCGCGCGCGAATTTCGCCTCGCTCAAAGGCCGTTCCATAAACACAATTTCCAGTTGAGCGAGTCGCGCGCGCAGGTGCTGTGTCTCGCCTCGCGTAATTACAAATGACGCAAATTCCTCTCCTCCCACATTACATTTTTTTATTTTAATATATCACCCGCATTAGCGCAGGATGGTTCGTTTGCTCATATTTATTTATTTATGTATAAACTGGCAGCGCGCTAGCTTTGATGCAAATTTCGAGTGTGCACTTGTGATGTAGATCAGGTTTTCATGCAGGATTGTTAGCGCGGCCGCAACAAGGCGAGCGTGTTTTTGGGCCGTTTACTCGAGTGCCTTCTACAACTTGAATAAAATGCAAACGCGCGGCGTTTTCGTATTTTCAAGGCTCTTTGCAAAAAGCCGCTTCCTTTTCCTACTCTCCATTTTTTATTCTGCCACAACGTCGAAAGTGAAAGGGAACTGAAGAGGGCCTCAGCAGCGCAGAGGAAATAAACGATTCCGCTTTTTGCACACTAGACACGCCGCGTATTTCCTAAATTTGAATTCTTCCAAGTGCCTTTTACTTCCATGAGGACATTGCGTCTCTAATGGCTGCACTAGAAAATTCATATTGATTTTTAGCAATAATTCACACTTTTTGTGCATTTTCTCATTTATGATAATATTAATTTTTATGCAAATAATATTCATAAAAAACCTTTAAATATTTATTTACAGATCTTTTTTAAATGTTATTCAGAATTATAATTTCATTTATATTTTTCCAAATTTTAATAAATGCAATATTTTTAAATGGGTAGTTAAAATTACTAATTTTTAGTCTTAAAAAATATAAACTAATAATAAAGTATTATGAAATTTTTCTTCTGATTTTGAAGTACATTTACAGCATCATCAACATTCGCGGCTCACATTTGCATACTTTAGTTACAAAGTGTCCTAAATTTCAACATTAATGCTTTTAGCTTTTAATGCGGACGTTTCAATTTAAGCTGGAGACAATGGCGGCTGGAAACCAGGACAATTTTTATTTATTCAAGCGCAATTTCGCTCTGGGCTGGTTGGTGCTTGAAATGCATTTCATCGTCGTCAGAGCAGGCGGCTGCACAAAGACTGCCGCAAAGAACAAATGAACACTGAAATGAAAGAGAACCTCTTTTTCGCTCCCAGCCACAACAATGCATTTCAATTTGCTGCATATCGTGCCGCTGTTAAAAGATCAAGTTGTAATTACTGTGAGCTAAGACTGAAATGCAGCAAAACGAAATGGATCTTCAAGTTACTAACAAAATAGCTGCTTCTCTCAAAAACACTTCCAAGAGGGATATATGCAATTAAAATATAAAAACTGCAAAATATTTTTCTTTATTTTTTTTACTAAAATTTCAACATTTTTAAGTTTTTTGGTGATAAAAACTTCATTGAAAGCTTTTTAAATTAAAAAAAAGCTTATTAAATGAGTTTTTATTCTAATTTGTAAGCTAATGAAAAAAAATGTTGACCTTTTCATAAACACCGTGACTTTATGAAAAAAAAAAAGGCTTTTGGTATAACAGTTTGAAATACGATTTTTAAATTTGGTTTCGTCTTTCACAAAGCATGTACAGCTACGGAAAACTTTGCCACATGCAAGGGTCACCGAAGTTTGGGTGCAAAAGGCTAATACAAATTTCACGGGGTGGATATTGTTTAATGCGCAAGCACATTATAACTTTGGTCACACGTGAGCTGCGAGCCTTCGTCCGGGGTCGCATATTATTAAAGCCCGGGCTAATGGAATGCAATGACATTATAAATTCCCAAAACTCTCCTAAAATACGAGAGTGCTGGCTTTTACGACACCGACTCTCTTATTATTTTAATTATGAGTGACACGAGAAATTCTTCAGTGTGCCAACTGGAAAATAAAAACTTGTATTCGTCTGTCAAGAAAATCAGCATTTGTACGGAAAATCCCCAAATTTTCTTTATAAGAACTTGCCCAGAGTTGGCTCAACTTTCATTCGAAAGCTTTTGCGTAACAAATTGCGAGACAGAAGGGGAACTTGTTTGTTTTGATATGCATCTCGATTTCGTTCCTCGTGCGAACCCTCAACTTTATCGCGCCTCTAATGGGCGCCAGTAAACAAAAACATACGCTTTTGATAGCACATGAGTTATAGGCGTCGTTACACGCGCCGGCAACGCAAATTGAAATAAGCTCGGCAAAAAGTTGCAGCGACGCGCACGTTCTAATTAAAGCCGGAGACGCGCAAAGCACGGCGATTTTTCTCGCTCCTGCGTCTAGACAAACAAGGGAATCGGCCTCGGAAATCACTTATGTTCAGAAAAGTTTTTTACTAGGAAAGCAGTTTTTATATCCTGGTGAGATATTTCCTTTTCTATTGAATTTGAAGAGACTTCAAAGTTTCTTACAAAAAAAGTGGCTTATAAATATTTTGCTTCACAAAGCATTAAATAAAGTCTGTATATTGTAAACCTTGTAAACCTATGATTTATAGTGTAGTATAAGAAATATAAAAAAAATTTAAACATAATCTTGTTGTTAAAATTTAAATATTTTTTAAAATATTAAATATTTTTAATTCAAATGATTGGAAATAGAAAAAGCAACCTAAAAGCACCAGTTTATAGCTTGAAGTTTAACTTAACTTGTATCAATTGTAAAATTTTTCAAGAAAATATAATTTCTATAATTTATTTAAAAAATTAAAAAAAAAATCCTAGGAAATTTTATTATATTTTTATTATTAAATTAATATTTTAAAATTGTGACTTCTTTAATTTTTTATTGGGATTGGTTTGACTTAAAAAGCATAAAAATACTTTGAAGTAAAATTAGAACTAATTAATTAATTAAAGCACAAAGAGACAGAAGCAAATCCAGCACATTTTGCACCTTTTAGCGAAAGGTGAGAGCGAAAGAAAACTCGCAAATGAAAGGCTGTTAATTTGGCTCGAGCCAAAGGAGTCAATTGGGTGTCGGACGGTCGCGTTTCGCCAATTTGGCCGCCGCACCCTCTCACCCTTTTAACGTGTTTGTTCTTTTCAGGCGACCGTTAATGAGCACTGCTTGATTGTTGAAATCGTGCCTGCCGCTGTGTTTCAGTGCGATCCCGGGGTCGGCGTGGACGCCTTTTTCCATGCCCTCTACACGCGGCCCTCGACCAAACTGCCGATGCTTCTGGGAAGTGCTTGTTCCGAGGTCACCGAAAGCCTGGCAAAAGTCACGCCCTACTGGAACATTGTGCAGGTGAGTAGTGAAAGAAAGACAGGCGGACACACACATTGAGTGCTGTCTGAGTAAAGCTTAATTAATCACCATCGAAAACGCGCAGCCCGCGTGCAGTGGCTCTCTGTGACCTTGCTTGCCCTATTGTTTTCATTGGCAACCAAATTTCTCTTAAAACTTTCGCCCATTTTAAATTTATCAAAATCTTTCTTTCACATTTATTGCATTCCCACAATTAATAATTTAATTTTTGAATGACATTCAAAATCAGAACAATATTAAATTATTTTTCTGAATTTGATATTTTAGCAATCTAATATGAAAATCACACTATTTTCCTAATTTATTTATCACTTGCTTAAAAATTAACTGTCTAGCCTCTTGGCGATTATAAACGTTGCAGGAGTTAAACAAATTTGCAAATGTGGACAAAAATAAATTTATGAATATTCTACAAAATTGAAATTCTACACCAGACTGTCAAAAGAAGCATAAATTGTCATGGATGTCCATATACCAGAGAATAATTTTTTCCAATTTGAGATTACATTGAAATTAAAAAAAATATATATCCAAAATTATATGTGTCGTCACAAGCTATGTTATTCTTCATCAATATTTCAATTTACAGTCGCACCTTATTATTCAAAAACTAAAAAGAATTATTTCTGGGCTTAAAAATTAAAAAAAGAGGCATCCCTTATAAATAAACATACAAATAAAATATTAAACAAAAGCAACTGTTTTATAATGCGGCCTTTCTTCAATGAAACGCGAGTGTTGCCACAAATATTGAACGCTCTTTTCAAAACTATTTTTGTTTGTGTGATTAACCTGGATGAAGTTTGTCTATTATCCATGAGATTTTACGCAACAACCCTAGGGATTAGACTTTTGATTGAGGTGAATATATAGCTACTCGTCCCCAGAGAACTTATGCAACTACGTATTTCATTTACAAACATTATTAAGCAACTCTATGTTCTCTGTTCAATGTATATAGAATGTAACGGAATTTAATTGTTTGAAGGATTGGAATTCTCTTTCTTGTTATCAAGCACAACTGTATTAGTTGCAAATAGATTTGAAAGTAGAGTTCTATTCGCGCCCAGGGGATGATAATCTCAAGGAAAAACAAACTGGCGGAATCGGCTAGGCAGGTCACGCGCGCGCGTCGAGCCTAATTTGACGCACAACATGCCCCGCCACAACATGCGATTGTAGGTTGTTTTCTGCCAGTTTTTTGTCAGACCAAAATAGGTGAAAATAAAGGCCTTTTCGTTTCGTTCGAACAATCGAGCGCGTCTTACGTCATTCAGGAGCAGAACTTGAAGTGACCGCACGTTGTATTGACACCGAAAGCGCACCAGGGGGAGAAAAGTGAATTCGACTTTATTTTCTCCTAATGGCAAACGTCAATTAAATCCAAGTTTCAAAAACGGCCTGGAAGGGGGACCGCTTTGTTTGCTCGGGCGCTCTTCCTTTTCTGTTAGCAACGCCTTGAATTTTTGATAAGGCAGCGGGTGGACTGTTTTAAGACGGGCGCAGACTTGCTAAATTACACACAGCTTTTCGCTCCGGCGCTGAACGAGTGGATTCTTATTAAAAAGGGTCTTCTCTGTTTAGAGTTGTAATTAATTGCACTACCTTTTCTTCACTGTAGCTGAATCAAAGCGGAAAAGGCTAAAAGAGCAGAATATTTGTAAATAGACAAAAATAAAATTAAATTTAAAAACGACTCTTACTAATAATGTAGTGCATATTCCCAGTGCTATTTATCTGGGTATTTGGTTTAAAACTTTTTCAATCTAACCCCTCTGGGATGCAAGAAGAAAGTTTGGTAAAGTTTTATTTTTCACAGATGAAGCAAACAAATTGTGTTTTAGCGGTTTTCGTGAACTTTACCTGCAACAAAAATTGGGTGAAATAATGAAATAAATTTTTGCCTTATTTCCTGGAATTTTATATTAAAAAAAGTTTGGAAATAATTACAACAAAAACTAGGAAAATTAAAGTTACTTAAAAAGTCTGGCCTTCAATTGTGTTTCTTTTCACTTTCGTCGACACTCCATGTCTTTGTGTCCTTTTCCTTGCATTGAAGATATGCAAATTCTTGGCCAAACTAGTTCAGCCGCTTCTACCTTCAGCGGCACTTTTATTAAAAGGGCAAATCTTGCTTTCATCTGCTTTGGCAAAGGGTCTTTTCTTTAGAAAGCAAAGCCGCCCTGCAGGAAAGGAAAAAAAGAGGCGGACAAAAAGTTTGGATAAAGCAGTGGGTTCGTTCGAGTCGGCCAGTGTCTCTGAAGTAGACGTGAAGTATCTCATTATAGGCGAATATGCGCCTACCGGGGTCAGTGCCGGAGAAACCGCTTCGAGATCAATCACTGCTCCACCACCATCAAAAAGCAATCAGCCACTAAAGGGGATTTGACAAGGGCAGGCCACCGGAGATGGGCCAGAGTTGTTGCTTTCATTACCTCAGTTCAACCGAGGTAAAATCGAATCTTCTCCGGCGGAAAATTCAAAACAACTAGGTCACCGGCTGACCTGGACAAAAAGAAAATATACTTTTCCAAGGAAAAGAAAATATTGGAGGCCTGTATTGAAGAGGGGGTTGGTTCTCTTTGATGCCTTTCTCTGCTTTCAATCAAAGTGCGGCGAGCTTTTGTCCCATTGTGTGTATTTCGACGCTCACTCAGAAGTCAGTCTTGCTAACTTGGGGAGGTGTAAACTTTGATTACAAACTGCCGCAAATGGGTAGCGCCCGCCCGGCCGCCCGCAACATCAAAGAACTTCCAACCGAAACGGAGCAATTAAGCATTTCGACTGCAGTCTTGAGTTTGCAAGTCTAGGAGTGAAAGGATGTGCTTTCGTTTTGGTTTTTTAGTTGGCATAGTTAGACGAAGACCACGATGCCTGTCAACTGAAAGCACGAAACGGCCCCCGGGGTGGTGGTGGCTTTGAAGAATTTCTAGCGTGTCTTGTGCATGAATATATAAGTGCCGGCCACAATTTCCTACTTTCTTTTGTGTCGGCGGCGCGAGAGCGTGTTTGAGACGGAATTTGAGGCAGAAAGAGCAAAGCGCTTGCAGCAAATTTCAATTGCTCGCCAGCGAAAATTGGAATTTTTCAGCACTCATTTTTTACAAGAGACTATTACATAAATTGCTCGTGGAAAAATGTGTTTAAAATTAAGAAAAAGCACGCGCGGAAAACCCTCTTTCTGCCCTTTTCTTTGCAGGAAATGTGTTTTTTCTTTTCTTTTAAAAATATAATTCTCCGTTTGACGTTTGAAATAAATCAATAATGCAAGTCCTTCTTTAAAAAATAATAATTAAATTTATTTTGCTTTTATTTTCTTGTCTTTAAAATTTTATTTAATGATCTAATTGTTAGAAGATTGAAAAGTAAATTATAAAATTATTTTCAAGCAATAACAAAATTATTTGCTTAAAACTGCCGCGATTTTCTCACAATCCACTGATTCGCTTAGGCTGCGACGATCCTCAAAGGGAGCATATTTGCTCGACAAATTGGAGCAATTCTAGCGAGAATGCGTGCATTTGGCCGTGCACACCGCAAATTAGCTCGGGCAATTTTGCCTGCCCTGCCACCGAGAGAGGCAGGCCGTGTTGCAAATTGGACTGCTCCAATTTGCGTCGGAATAATTATTGCACGACGGCTGCACCGCACAAGCAGAATGATGGCGGTGACATTTTAATTGAAACCTAATGGACGTGCGGTTGCGTGGGCGAGCAAGTAAATAATGGCGACGGTTATTTGCAGACAATTGGATTTCGGTGTCGCCGATCAATCTGGAATCAATCGCTTCTGGTTTGAGGTTTGCCGGACGAAACACTGAATTGACAATCTTCAAATAAACTTAATAAACTATGCAATTTTTTTCAATAATATAATTGGTTTGGTCTTTTTTCTTGGCTCTCAATTTGAATTTTCCGTGAGAGCGAGCACTTCGGATTGCTGCGGCGAAGCAGTCGTAAAGTTTCTAAGCTGGAGTTCTACTAAGTCGTCTCATTTTAATAAGAACGTAGATTCTGCCAGTACCCAATTTTCCACTCGAACGAGTGCTCCGGTCCGTTTGACGATTATTTCTTGCGTGTAATAAACACTCGTGGTAAACATCAACATGTAAAAGAGTCACGGATTTCCTCCATCAGTTTTGAAACTAATTTGCACATGTAATTAGGCAATCTTATTTTGCGGCTCTAAACTTCATTTGAATACAAAGTTTCTTAAGAATATAAAATAAAAATAACTATTTGCTTCCTCAAATTATTTTTTATTATTATTTTACATTATGTATACTATGTACCATTATTGTTTTTTTTAATATTTTAATTAAAATTTGACAAAAAAAAAAAAAGAAAGAGTTTCAATTATAAATTACTGGAAAATTTATAGTGAATCTGAACTATTGAAATTTAATTTTTAAGCTTCACTTAGCTTATAACTTATGTTTACATAACATCCAGAACTGGCAATAGACTTTTGTTTTGCAAAACACAATAATAACATGTTTAGTATGCACTAATTGTAAGAAATTGTTTAAAACTTGTTCAAGTCCTTCTTCGTAAGAAAAACTATTTAATAAAATATATTAATTTTACGCAGAATGAATACAGATTTTGAAAAATTTGGGCACATTTAAAATAATTTATGAAGGCAATTACCAAAATAATGATGAACCATTAAAGCCATAGTTTCCTCTCATGCGCAATTAAATTACTCTTGGCTCCGCATGGACCTTCCGAAAGTGAACAAGCGAGCCTCTCGATTAAACTAACATGATTTATATATTAGTATGTAAATCACACTCGCTGCGAAACAACCGCTGTGAATGATGAGCGAGTAAAGCAAAGGCTTATTCCTAATGGTCGTGCTGTCACAGAGGCTGTTGTGGGCCGTTTGAATAGCGCGTGAATGAATTCGCAGGCTCCCAGGCCGCCACTTCAAAGTGACGAGATCGCTTTCGATTTGAAATTCAAATTCGCTCTGCTGTCATTCGTTTCCACGTCAGACTAAAATGATTATTTGCCAAATTGATTTGCAACTTATGGTTTTTGCATGTCTCTGTTTTAGGTTGCGTTTGGATCGACGTCGCCGTCACTGAGCGACCGACGCGAATTTCCGCTCTTCTACCGAACCGTCGCCCCCGACTCGTCGCACAACCCTGCGCGATTGGCGTTTGTCCGTGGGTTCGGATGGGACACTGTCACTGCCCTCAGTCAAGATGAGGACGTTTTCTCATTGGTGAGCTCTTGAAAGGCATTGATAAAAGTGAAAGGCTCAAATCCCACGGGGGCAGGGGCGAAGCCGGAAAGAAAAATTGCACACGGGAGTAAATTATTTTTCCCCTAAAGCAACAAACAACAAATTGAACAAAATATAACTACTTTTTTTAGAAGTAAATACCATTGAGAATACTTTGGGAATTTTTTTTATTTTGATAAATTATACCTTCCTATTCTTGTTGTTAAATTTTGAGATTTTTATTCTTGAACATCAAAGGAATGTTAAAAAAAATGATAACGAGAAACCAAAATGAATTTTTAATAAATTTTGCTATCAAATCATGTTTCTTTTAGCCACAAAAGTGATGTGACAAGATCGGCAAAGAAAATTATTATTTTCACTCAAACAACAACAATTGTTAATTAATTGAATTGAATTCGTTTAATTTTTTTACTGAAACTTAGAGAAGATGATTCATACTAATTTACCTTGAGAAAACGATGGGCATGCAAGAACTCTTAGTTTTCAAAATAAAATCAGCTTTTTGGCCGTAGACATTTACGTCAGGTTAGCCAATTTTCTTCAGTTTATTTCAGAATCGCTCACATCCGCGTAACCCCATATAAAAATAAACTCCTTTGGTAACTCACTTTCGATGTGTTTTCTTGTGGAGGGATAAACGAAAATGTGTTTTCCAGGCTGTGAACGACTTGGTAACCGAGCTGGAGGAGGCAAACATCACGTGCACGGCGACCATCACTTTCTCGGAGCGCGACTTTAAGGACCAGCTGCGGCACCTGAGGGCAAGTAGCAGAAACCGCTTCTCGCTTTCGCACCCCATTTGCGTAATACGTTTTGTCAACAACGAAACGCTCTCTTCCTCTTTTACAGGATTTGGACACCCGCATCATAATCGCCAGCTTTTCGCACCAAGTGGCGCCGAAAATCTTTTGCGAGGTGAGTTTTCCTTACAATGTTTCATAATGTTTTGATAGAACCATGGTTGGGAAAATTTGATGTTATATGAAATGTTTCATGTTTCTTATAATAATTTAAGTTTCAAATAATATTTATTGTCTGAACAGCCCGAATTCATATATGCGCAATTCTAAAAAATAAAATAAATAATAATACATAATAAAAAGCATATAAAAAAATTATATTGAATAAATACAAATTTAATAAAATAAAGTTAAAAGAGAATAAAAGAAAATGAGAGGGAAGGAAATTTATAATAATAATTTGCTTTTTATGTAATAAAAAATGCAGAAAATTTGTATTTTAACTTGTGAGTAGTTGAACTTTTTGAAAAGTCTGGAAAATTGAAAATGCACAAAAAAAACTTGGGCTGAGAGAATCATCTCAAGATCCCTATAGCAGAGGCCGTGCTTTTAGCATGTTTGCGAGAAAAGTGTCAAAAAGAGATGACGGTCTTATCAATGGTGCAATTTTTCCGGGAAAGCGAGCAGCTGCTGGATCAATTCGGCGGCCAAGGTGGCGGATTTTTTTCCGCACGTGACGTCTCCATTGTGCAAGAACAACGCAAGGCGGTCCATCAGCAGCGTTTTCAATTTCAGCGCGTACAGCAGCCCTGCCTTTCCAAAATGAGTAAGCAGCAGCACGGGGGAAATTGAAATTTAGCCCCGGCGGCCGGGATTATTTTGTGGCCTCCTAATTTCTTTCTGCCTGCGACCTGTGTGCGCCCCCAAGACCTATTGTGATGCAAAATGATAAATGGCCGGTGTGCGAGTCTGGCCCATCCATCATCGCTGCTCTCCGGTGAAGCAGATTGGGCAGAGTGCGGGATTGGGCCGTCCAGGTGCCACAAAAAGCTTCTCTCCGCAAACAGTCAGCTCAGCAATGACATAGGGTGGTTTGGAACACACAAAGCTGCTACGTAAATTATGTAATATATTAAAAGAAACCCTTGATGTATGGTTTACAAGGAATGGTTAAAACAAGATTAGAAATCTTATTGAAAATTTATTATCAAAATAAAACTTAACTCTTCTTTTGTCCAAGCTGATAAGTATTTTAACCGAATTCTATAGTTAAAAAAATTCATCACTTAAATTTCAAAAATTTTTGCTCTGTCAAAGGAAGGATTTCGAAAAGGAGAGTTCTTCTGAACTGAAACATTTAATAAAAAAAAATACCCATTTTTGTTTTACTCACTTGATGAAAATAAAAATGTGAGCTGGGTATCAAAATTACAGTTGGGACTGGTGGGATTTCAGAGAACTTGGCCCTTTTTGTTTACAAAGTAGATAATTAGTAAAGCAGATGCAATTTCTTACCGGCTCTCTTGAATTTTGGAGCGGACAAGTGCACCTTGCTTGCATTAATTAATCAGAAGGCAGGTACACGAGGCAAAACCAGAAAGTTGGACCTCGGGGGAAATTCGGGCTGAAAACATACGCCAGGCTAAGCCGCCGCCGCCCGGTAATCCAGGAGACAAAAAATAAAAGTGAGAGCGATATTTTGCGTGCGTGCTGCGAGAGCTCGCACAGAGATCGATGCCAAGAAAAATGCCGACGTGCCGGAGACATGCAGCCGTCATGTGTTGCTCTCTCCCATGTTATTCAAATGTTACGAGCCCACGCACACACATTGTTCTGAATATTTCATAAAGCTGATCTGTCGTTTCCGTGCCACGTTCCAGGCGTACCGCCTGGGCATGTACGGCTCTGATTACGCGTGGATCATCCAGGGCAGCCCCATGGACCAGCCGTGGTGGTCGGATGCGCCGAAGGCTGGCGGCTGTTCGCAGGCGGCGCTCATGGCTGCGGTCGAAGGCCTTCTGCTCGTCTCCAGCCACAACAGCCTCGTTGGACCAGAACCATCTTTATCGGGGCTGGTGAGTTTGATTTAGATTTAAAACGGAGGAAAATTTGTCTAAATAAAAAAAATGTATTTATCATTATAAATTCATAAAATAAATTTTAAAGTTAAAATATTTAATAAAAAAAAAAATCAAAATTATTTAAAATTTACTTAAACATTAACATTTTTCTGCAGACAAACGCAATGTTTGAGGAGCAATTCCGTTCGCAAAATCTACCGATCACGCGTTACACGCCACAAACGTACGACGCTGTGTGGGCCATCGCGATGACCCTGCACAACACGGAAAGTCGGAGGCGATCCCTCGGCCTCGCGTCCATTTCCAACTTCGACTACGGAGACTCGCACATGGCGCACGAGTTCCTTCGGGAGATGGCCGGCCTCGAGTTCCTTGGTGTGTCGGTAAATAAATACACAAATTTATAATATATTCTTCCATTAGTTTGCACTTTACGATGTTTGACAACTTTTGGGATGCCAAAAATTATTTCTGCCACGTCCAATTTCGTTTCGCAGGGTCCCGTTTCCTTCAGTGGAGCTGACAGAGTGGGAATTTCTGCGTTCTATCAAGTGCAAGGTGAGTGTCCCAAGTTTAGGAAGTTAAGAGAGTGAACAAAAAACTTATTCGCAAGTTTGTGTATATATTTAAAAAGCAATTTATATTGAATTTGTTGTGTTGAGCCAAAAAGCGAAACTTTTGCTATTGATTGAAAAGGGAACAAAACTTTTTGAGGTAAAACAACCACCACAGAGTTCTAATTTTAGTAAACATTTAATGTATCTGGAAAGTGGGGCTCCAAACACAAAACCACGTGCACATTGAATGTAATTATTTTGTTGAAATGTTGGGTGGTTTGTGTGCGGCCTCTGTTTTGTGTTTTGAACAACAATTCCAAAGGAAGCTTTTGAAGCGAATGAGTGTAGGCAGTGCTCTCATTGAAAAGCACGTCACTGTAAAGCATGGGGACTATTTTCAACGAATTTCAAGCCATGTGATTTATTTGTTATTCAATTGATTAGATTAATTGAAAATAAATTTTTGTTCCTGGCAGTCCTATCAAAATCATTTGCCCTCCTTAGATTTTGTATATTATATAGTTGGAGAAAATCAGAAGCATTAAACGGCGAGAATCATTATTCACTAAATTAAATTCCCAGAAAAAATATAAAATTTATTTAGTTAATTTTTCTCTTTGTTTTGGCTTCATTAATGAACGCCCCACACGTCCTCTCTCGCAAGGCGAACTTTAGGAATGAAATATTCATGAGGGCCGCAGCCGGGAGTAATCAAGTGAATTGGGATTTCTGTGTGTTGTGTGCCTCGTCGGGATAATGGCATTAATGATGCTATTATATTTCCCAAATGAATCTAATCACGCAAGCCAGAACGCGAGACTTTTGTTCGGGGGCTGCCAAAAATTGTGTTTGTCCGTGGCGCGAAAATGATTTGCGGCTTTAATGGAGATTGCAGAGGGTAAACACGAGGCGCGATGATTGAAAGCAAATTTGTGCCGGCGTAGATCTCTTTGTTTGACTCTCGAGAGCGTGAACGGGAAAGCGTTTAGCAGATTCGCAAGCGCTGATGGAATATTTGCCTCTCGCCGCTTTTTGTCCCAGCAAAGTGAAAATAAAGCGTGAAAGAGCTTTTGTGATTATATTTCAACATTTACCTAGGAAATCTGTTTTTTATTTTGCAGCGATTTCACAGCGCGTTAACAAAATTTACTGCAATTTTGCATCTCACTCAATCTCACTCTTATAATTAAAATGTTAAAATTTAGGTGTTTTTCATGAAAAACTTTACGAAATAAATAAAAATAAAGCAGTACATTTTTAATAAAATTAAACAAAATATTTCACGTCAAAATATTTCACAACAAAATATTTTTCAAACAGACTCCGTCAGTTATTTTTTTTTTATTTTGGTTAAAAATGAGCCATTTTGCACAAATTGCACAGCTGGCTTTTTATTTCAACCACCTTGAATAAAACAAGCAAAGCGGAGCGCGCAATTGTTTGTGTATAGGACGGTTTCACGGTGACGCGCATATTTCTCTCTCTCACACTCACAATGCATCTCTCGCGCACCCCTCGAGCAGATGACGCTGAATCAAAGTCGCTGTCAAGCGCAAAACTTGCTCTCGGAAAAGCGTCGCCGACATTTCGCCGGCGAATTCTTCCAATTTAAAGTTGAGGATTCAATTTGAGTGCCGAGTAGTGTGCGTCACAGACTACGCGTTTCCGACTTTGTCCTCTGTTTACGTTTTCATTTTGAGCGAGTCGCGACTGTACAGATGCGCGGCGGGCCCGTCTATCAAGTTGTCTGCAAGGAAACTCGCTCCAGCGAATTCTCCTGACGCGTTTAAATTGATTTTCTGTAACAACAAAGGCACAAATCAACCAAAGTTTTTTATGTTGTATAAAAAATATTGAGAACTTTCCACAAATTTCATCAGCAAATTAAGGATGCCAAGAATTAATTTTATTTTCTTTGTAGGTGGCGTGGTGCAGAAAGTGGCTCTTTTTTACCCGTCCTCGGACCGTCTGGACTTTGAATGTCCGCAGTGTGAGCCCCTGCGGTGGCAGGGAGGCCAGGTGCCGATTGCCAAGCGCGAGTTTCGCCTCAGGGTCGTCACCATCGAGCGCACTGCGTTCTACAGCGTCGCATGCCTCGCCGGCGCTGGGATTTGTCTCGCCACTGTGTTCCTGGGGTTCAACCTCTACTTCAGAAAGCTCAAGTAAGCGCCACACTGTGCTACATAGGCAACCTGCGCGACGCCTCCGTAAGACGGCGCTGCATAATCACTTTTCTAACTGAAAATAATGGGGGAGATTCAAGAGACTTAGCTCTCCCGGGATAAAAGATATCCCGGGATAAATCCAAAGTGATAAAATTTGGACCACTGTCCCGGGTTAAATATTTTTTGTCCCACCTTCAATTTTTTCTCCCCAAGTTATTGGGGGATATCTTTTCTTAGCCCCCTCTACGGGATAAATATTTAACCCGCGCAGGATCATGGAAATGAGGGCAAAATTGAAATCCAAAGCTAACACAAAAATCTGTATCTAACTTAATTTAAAATTGCATATTTATTTTGCTCAGAAATTTCTAAAGACCTCTTCATCAAAGCAAAATTATGCAAGGATTTTTTTCTATTGAAATTTTTTGCACGTGAAATTTCAAATTTCTCAACTCTGAAAAATTAAAATTCTCAAGCTTATTTTTTTATTTGTAGATAAATTAAATTCGCCAATTTTTTTTTTTTTGTAATTACACTTAACAAATAAAAAAGGAAAAAAATTAGTGAACGTGAAAAAGTAAAAGAAAAAAGAATTTGCTTTTCTTTCATCTTAAGGTTTCCCAAATATTTAAATACCTTTTCGTCAAACTTAATTTGGGCAAATACATCTTTTTCGTATGGCTATCAAATCAAGTATTGAACCAGTGGCTGGCTACCGGCTGCCGGCTGTCAAAAGTGCAACTGCAATGAACACTCAGCTCAGCCAAAGTCAAGAAAATGTTTGACTTGGTTTTATTAATTTATTTTTTTATTACTAGCGGCTGACCTTTTTGTTTCAAAATTGATAGCAAGGTCAGCTGGTTCAACAGTCGAAATAGTTGACGGCTTATTGATGGTAAAATTGTTGGGATGTTTAAGCGAGGTGGTATATAAATATGAAGGGAGAACGAGCTTTGCGTGTTTTAGCGCATTTTGAGAGTCGTTTTGTAGTGAGTTTGTAGTCAACTTGGAGTCGCTTGCAGTCGTTTTGTAGTGAGTTTGTAGTCAACTTGGAGTCGCTTGCAGTCGTTTTGTAGTGAGTTTGCAGTCAACTTGGAGTCGCTTGCAGTCGTTTTGTAGTGAGTTTGTAGTCAACTTGGAGTCGCTTGCAGTCGTTTTGTAGTGTTTGTAGTCAACTTGGAGTCGCTTGCAGTCGTTTTGTAGTGAGTTTGTAGTCAACTTGGAGTCGCTTGCAGTCGTTTTGTAGTGAGTTTGTAGTCAACTTGGAGTCGCTTGCAGTCGTTTTGTAGTGAGTTTGTAGTCATCTTGGAGTCGCTTGCAGTCGTTTTGTAGTGAGTTTGTAGTCAACTTGGAGTATTTTTGTAGTCGTTTTGTAGTGAGTTTGTAGTCAACTTGGAGTCGCTTGCAGTCGTTTTGTAGTGAGTTTGTAGTCAACTTGGAGTCGCTTGCAGTCGTTTTGTAGTGAGTTTGTAGTCAACTTGGAGTCGCTTGCAGTCGTTTTGTAGTGAGTTTGTAGTCAACTTGGAGTCGCTTGCAGTCGTTTTGTAGTGAGTTTGTAGTCAACTTGGAGTCGCTTGCAGTCGTTTTGTAGTGAGTTTGTAGTCAACTTGGAGTCGCTTGCAGTCGTTTTGTAGTGAGTTTGTAGTCATCTTGGAGTCGCTTGCAGTCGTTTTGTAGTGAGTTTGTAGTCATCTTGGAGTCGCTTGCAGTCGTTTTGTAGTGAGTTTGTAGTCAACTTGGAGTATTTTTGTAGTCGTTTTGTAGTGAGTTTGTAGTCAACTTGGAGTCGCTTGCAGTCGTTTTGTAGTGAGTTTGTAGTCAACTTGGAGTCGCTTGCAGTCGTTTTGTAGTGAGTTTGTAGTCAACTTGGAGTCGCTTGCAGTCGTTTTGTAGTGAGTTTGTAGTCATCTTGGAGTCGCTTGCAGTCGTTTTGTAGTGAGTTTGTAGTCAACTTGGAGTATTTTTGTAGTCGTTTTGTAGTGAGTTTGTAGTCAACTTGGAGTCGCTTGCAGTCGTTTTGTAGTGAGTTTGTAGTCAACTTGGAGTCGCTTGCAGTCGTTTTGTAGTGAGTTTGTAGTCAACTTGGAGTCGCTTGCAGTCGTTTTGTAGTGAGTTTGTAGTCAACTTGGAGTCGCTTGCAGTCGTTTTGTAGTGAGTTTGTAGTCAACTTGGAGTCGCTTGCAGTCGTTTTGTAGTGAGTTTGTAGTCAACTTGGAGTCGCTTGCAGTCGTTTTGTAGTGAGTTTGTAGTCAACTTGGAGTCGCTTGCAGTCGTTTTGTAGTGAGTTTGTAGTCAACTTGGAGTCGCTTGCAGTCGTTTTGTAGTGAGTTTGTAGTCAACTTGGAGTCGCTTGCAGTCGTTTTGTAGTGAGTTTGTAGTCATCTTGGAGTCGCTTGCAGTCGTTTTGTAGTGAGTTTGTAGTCAACTTGGAGTCGCTTGCAGTCGTTTTGTAGTGAGTTTGTAGTCAACTTGGAGTCGCTTGCAGTCGTTTTGTAGTGAGTTTGTAGTCAACTTGGAGTATTTTTGTAGTCGTTTTGTAGTGAATTTTTAGATGAAAGAAAAGCAAATTTTTTTTTTTTTTTTACTTTTTCACGTTCACTAATTTTTTTTCCTTTTTTATTTGTTAAGTGTAATTAAAAAAAAAATTGGCGAATTTAATTTATCTACAAATAAAAAATAAGCTTGAGAATTTTAATTTTTCAGAGTTGAGATATTTGAAATTTCACGTGCAAAAAATTTCAAAAGAAAAAAATCCTTGCATAATTTCGCTTTGATGAAGAGGTCTTTAGAAATTTCTGAGCAAAATAAATATGCAATTTTAAATTAAGTTAGATGCATATTTTTGTGTTAGCTTTGGATTTCAATTTTGCCCTCATTTCCATGATCCTCACAAAATTCTGATTTGAAAAATTAAGTTTTTTGTTCATTGCAATTGGCCAAAATCTAAAATGTTTGCGAGCATGTTGACGACCTTTTATTTACCAGCTGATTTGATTTTAGCGCGGGTTAAATATCTATCCCGTAGAGGGGGCCAAGAAAAGATATCCCCCAATGACTTGGGGACAAAAAATTGAAGGCGGGACAAAAAATATTTAACCCGGGACAGAAGTATAAATTTTATACCTTTTGATTTATCCCGGGATATCTTTTTTCCCGGGAGAGCTAAGTCTATTGAATCTCCCCCAATATTCTAATTCTATAGTCCTCAATTAGCAAGGTTTCCGTTTCAAAATGACTTGAAACAAAAAACCAATTTGTTCAGAACTTGAGAAAGTTCACTAACTTTCTCCAATTTATTCCCGTCCAAAGAAAATAGAAGAGTTTCCTGGGAAATTTCTCCATTCGAACTTTCCCTCTTCTCCGAATAGCGTTTCCATTTGGCCGTTCCATTATTCATTCGTCAAATGCAGCCGGAGAGAAAGGCCGGCGCGCGCGATTCCGACCGACTAACTGTTGCTCTCCGCAGATACATCAAGCTGTCGAGTCCTCGGCTGAACAACATTGCCGTCGTTGGCTGCATCCTCGTCTACACGGCTGTCATTCTGCTCGGCCTGGACCACGCCACGCTGCCTGCCGGCGGCGCCCACTTCGCAAATGTTTGCACAGTAAGGCAAATTCGTTATAATTTCCCCGCCGCCTGTGCGTCACACTGATTTTTTCTCCACTCTAACATGGCTTTGGACACCTCCTCATTTTTATCTCTACTTATTTTTGACAGTGGAGGAAAAATGACCGCTTTTTTGCTGAATTTTATTCAAGAATGAAAAATTTCCATTTCTGAATGGTAGCTGTAAAAGAATGTTTATGGATCAATCTTTGAGGGATTAGAAATTTTCTAAAATGGTTTCATTTTCAAGCGAAAGTTTTAAGGCAAGTGATCAAATTTTAATTATTTGATTTTTATAAAAATAAAGACCCATTTTTAGTAAATTAAAAAATAATAAATTGTGTCATGAAAGTTAAACATTTTACAGCGAATTGCAAAGAAAGAATTTACTCTCTTTCCACCGTGACAGTTATACAATAATGTATTTGTCTAGCTAACCCGTTGGATACATTTGCGCACGTGTTTACTTTTTAGTAACAAATAGGCCCTCAAAGGGGTTCTTTTGTCAGAACATAAAGCAAACCTGGCACTCGAGAGAGAGAAAGCGACTCAAGGAAATCTCTCTCTCCTGCAATAAATAGGTTTGCCGCTGCTGGGAATACATTTCTAGCGGTGCGCCTTCCGTTTCGAAGAATTGCCGCTGTGTATTATTGATAAAAGGCAAATACTCGGTCGTGCAATAAAGGACATCCATTTTCCGGGCTGAAGGGAATCACAGCCACAGAGCGGCTTGATCAATTTCGGGCTGCTCCACAATGGCGATGAATTTTTCAAGCGGTACGTTTTCTTCCATTCGACTCTGACAAATGGGCAGAATATTCCACCCGTGTGGCGAATCGTATATAAAAGATTCGAGTTATGTGTGGCACTTCTGGCTGCTGCTCGGCGATATTGGAAAAATGCTTTAGAAAAAAGATGAGACCGCAAGACATTAAGTCGATTCACGTGACCAACAACATGTGTGTTACCACAATGGAATTGATTTTCCTTTGGAGCATTTATTTTTAACAAGCTACAGTAACACTGACGAATTTCAGTACCGTGTACTGTGAAATAATTTATGAGAAAGAATTAAGAAAATTCCGGGCCAAATAGTTCCTCATTGGAGGAACCAAAAAGCAATAAAATTGAAAATTTGGGTCATTTTTCTAGCCTATAATTCAAGCTTGACCACTTCTGCATTACTTTTCAAAGAATCGCATTAAAATCTAAAGAGAAAGATAAATAAATAAAATCTAGCCACGCATTACAAGTTGGTTTCATTAGTTTGTGAATAAACATGAGTCCTTGAATGTTTATAAACTTTTTCAACACACATGCTGAATGCGAAATTGCGCTTTTCCCGTATAAAAAGGCCTGCCTTCAATTAGTGAAAATACGTCAAATACCAGTGCAACGTAGCCGCTGGGGCTGTGATTTGTCCAGCGTAAGAGGAAAAAAACTTGGGTCCAAAGCCATTAGAGCTAATTAGCGACTCGGGACGTGCGCTGCACAAAAGCGGCCGAGTGATGTTGTCGTGATGTTTTGTTGCAGGCCAGGGCTTATCTGCTATCGGCCGGATTCTCGCTCGCCTTCGGCTCAATGTTCACTAAAACCTACCGTGTTCACCGCATCTTCACGAGCAGTCGCAGCGGAGTTGTCAAAAATAAGGTGAGTCTCGGAGCAGTAGGGAAAAGATCGATTGGACTGAATGAATCATGAAGCAGAGCAGCGGAGGCGCGAGTGAAATTATTGAATTATGCAATGTTTGCCGTGATTTTACTTTTAATGTGATTTTCGTGTCTCACGCTCTGTTGATACTAACGTAAGCAACAGAGACGTGATTTATTAAGCTTCTGCTTGTTCATTTTCCATCTGTTGAGTTTCAGAACAAATGGTCGTATTATATCCATCAGTCTGGAGTTTTGTGATTAAAAGCGAAATTTGTTACGAAACAAAACACAATTGAGCGTTTTTGATGAGAGATTCATATTGAAATATTTAACCGAGGCTGATCTGCATTTCTTGTTTTGTGCATGATGAGAATGTTAAAACTAATTTCAGCGGTGGATACAGCAGCTGTTCAAACGGCTTTCATCAGTTACATCCTATTGAAATTTTCCTGCTGAAAGGCTCAAAGCTCAAAATATGAATATGGAAATGCGTAACAATACTTTACCGAGGAAAATACTTTTCACATAAATTATGATGTGGCTGTGATTATGTTTTTAAAAAAGATTGAATTTAATTATGTATATTTATTTGAAATTTGCTCAAAATCAGTCAACTGAAGTTGATAATATAGTACTCTAAAAAAGTTAATTAAACACTTAAAATGCATATTCTCAAAAAATAAACTTTGTGAATTTTACTATTAAATTATTTATTTGTCGAATAAAAATTAAACCCCAGTCAGTGAAAATGGAATAGATAGAAAAATCCTTGTGTTTCGCAGTTGCTGCAAGACACACAACTCATCTCGCTTATCTGCGCGCTGCTGCTCGTAGACATTTTGATCGTCACCCTCTGGGTGTCCGTGGACCCCATGCAGCGTCACCTAAAAAACCTTTCCCTGGAGATTTCTGCCATCGACCGCAGCGTCGTATACCAACCGCAAGTGGAGGTCTGCAGGTCGCAGCACACCAGCGGCTGGCTTGGAGCCCTTTACGTCTACAAGGGGCTGCTGCTCATCGTCGGCGTCTACATGGCGTGGGAAACTAGGTTCGTAATTTTCAATTTTGCATTGGATAAAACTCATTGCTTTGTAATGGAATGAAACTCATCAAAAGAAATATCATCTAACTAAATTTATACTTCATATTGGCTCTTATTTTCTCCTTATTTTAAAAAGAATTCCTTTTTCTCATTTGCATTTTTATCATGAAATTCATTTAATTCCTCTAGACATTGAAATTTTCTTGCAATCTCTCTTTGCTGCTCTGAGCAAAATACGCAATAGGTTTCAATGGAAAGTCTATAAAAATTTGCAGACGGGTGAAAATACCTGCTCTGAACGACTCGCAGTACATAGGGATGAGCGTCTACTCGGTGGTCATAACTAGTGGCATTGTGGTGGTGCTGGCCAACCTCATTTCGGAAAGAGCTACCCTGGCTTTTGTGACCATCACAGCACTTATTTTGGCTTCCACGTCCACGACGCTCTGCCTGTTGTTTGTGCCAAAGGCAAGTGGAAAATGATAATAACAATTTTTAACTTTTCCTATAACCAGAATAAAAAAAATGTTTTTTATTTCTTAAAGTAATTCTGAATGGAAATAATGTCCAAAATGGTAGCTTTCCTTTTTATGATAAATAGTTTATGAAGAAATATCTATTGTGCGTTTATTTTTTAATAAAGAAATTGATAATTCCATAATTCCTTCCAGATTCACACAATATGGCTCCACCCAGATGGGGACCCCATAGTGGAAAGCATGGGCTTGAAAATAGAGTGCAACACCAGAAGGTAATCATTTTAATTGCCTCGGCTTTGTGTGCTGCTTTATATAATTTGTTTTTGCTATCGCGCATTCATACAAGTGGCGCCGAGGGCTATAATTTCTTCAGCTTCTTATATTTGCTTGCTTACGCTGTAGAAGCCCAACTTTTGCTGGATTATATTTATGTCGGAGAATAATTTTGCCGGGCGTGTTCGAAGTTATGAAAACTTTTTAATCTGATCTCTTTTTTTATTAACGAGGCGACGTTTTTGTGTAAATCTCTCCTCTCTAACCGAGCACAAAGGCTTCAAAGGAAAAACGTTATTTGCATTTGAAAAGTCTCATCCCGCTCTTGGAATTAATTTGAAAAAAATTGTTTTACCCACGCCGAGATTAAACTTTGCGAATCCGTTCAGATTCGTTATAGACGAGAGGAGGGAGCGGTACTACAGGGTTGAGGTGCAGAACAAGGTGTACAGACGAGAGATGGCCGCGCTGGACGTGGAGATCAACAAGCTCGAAAGAATGCTCATCGAACCTCCGCCCTCGCCGTCGACTTCCGCCTCTGTTAGCCACGGAAGCGTTTCCCTGCCCGGCTCTTTGAGGGTAAGCAACACTTTGATCCTGAAACTTTGCGTGCATCAGTTTGTGGAATGTTTGTGTCACGGTGACCTCAAAATTATGTATCTAAATTTCTATGTGCCTATAAGGTGTTAGATATATACTAAAATAATTATGTTGTTAAAAAATTATTATTATTATTATTTAATTTTTTCTTTTTTAAAAAAAGGCATATAATTTTAAATAATGGACATTTTAAAAGGTTTCACTATAAAATTTTAATTTCTATCACATGACTTAATTAATTTACTAAAAAAAGGAAATATTAATATGAGTTATGAATCATGTGAAATCTACATGTAAACAGTTTTGATTTTGAAACCCCCTGAATTTGGTTAGATTCGCCAGTTGTAAAAGTGGTAAAAATTTTGTATGAGAATCAAAACCTTAATTAAATAGAATGGACTAAAACTTAAATTATCTGAGTTTTAAATCTGAAATGCGCTGAAAAGGGTATTTTTCATGAATATTGGGCTAAAATTTCAAAAGTACATTCGTTTTAGTGGATTGATTTAACTATTTAAATTGTGTGGTAAAATAAATTTTTCTCGTGAAGGACGACGACGGCATGTCCGAGGGAGACGAGGCCGACGAGGACTCGGAGGTGCCGCACTCGCCCCTACCCCGGCCGATGCCCATGTACAACCCGCGGGGTGCGGCGGCCCTTTTGCTCAGCGTAGTGCCCTCGGTGGTGCCGAGGGCCAGCTGGCCGTGCGCCCAGGCGGCAGAACGACAGCAGGTCACCTTCCGTTCGGAACCTGAGCTAGACCAGGCGACCGAACACGACCAGCCGAGCAGCGCGGCCGCCCTTCTCAAAAAGCTGCTGCCCAGAATCTGGCGACCAGCCCGCGCCAAGGCAAATCGCAGTGCCATTGCGGCCGCGCTCAGGATGCACGTCAACTACGTGACTGGTATGTAGGCAACTCGCAGAACACCGCTTGGTATCTCTTGAGCTTAACTTAGATTAAATTCAACCCACGATTGGCTTTATTTTGGCTTTTATGAAAATTGCACCCTCATCCCTAACTTTTGATGACAGAAATTTAAATGACATTTCATCTTGTAAAGAAACTGGAGGTACAAAATATTAATCCTTTTGAATCCTTATCAAATAGTTAGTTTTGTTTTGGAGCAAACAATACTTTATAAAAATTAAATATATTCTAATAAAAAAAAAATAATAAAAAAAGGAACATCAAATGTTTGCGTTATATTTAAAAAAATTAATTTTATTAAAAAAATTAAAATAAAAGTTTAAATAATATAAAAAATACAATTAATTTTATAAAATAAACACAATTTGCTACTAAAATATGTAATTATTTTATATTATAAAATATATTACTAGCTGACATTTTTTTTTTAATTATTTGTATTCTAAATTTTGTAAATTTTCTTCAATTGTAGGAAAATTTGCAATTATTATGATATTTATAATCTATTATAACACTATTATAGAGACACAATAAAATTATTTAAAATTTAGAATAATTTTATATCAAAAGTAATTTCTGTTAAATCATTATAGAAAGTCCAAGCACCAATTTTTCCGTTAAAAATTTCCACCAATTTCCAAAAAAAGAAACTAATTACAAATTATTGCTATAGACCATTCGATCCCCTCACACCCTGTCTTGCGTTGAGTATGTAGCGAGCCACGTATGTACGCTTGCACCACTGTTGCAGGTTTAGTGCCAGACCCCCACCCTGACCGTAAATTCTCACTGACCGCTTGCATTGCCACAGACTCGGCGGCGGCGGCGCCGTCGTCGGCGCCGTTCCGCGAGCGGGCGCGCGGCTCGCCGCGCTTCCCGCACCGGATCGTGCCGTCGGGGCTGCTGGCGCCGACGGCGCGCACCGGCAAGTGCCGCTCGCTGGACACCAGCATGGACGCGGTGTCGTGCGGCCGGTGCGGCGGCCTCCAGCAACGCAACGCCACCAGCTGCGTCGGCTGCGCACGCCGCAGCAAACCGCGCGCCGCCAGCCTCAGCCCCAACTGCGACGTGTGGTGCGTCGAGCAGAGCGTCGCCAACGACGGCGAGCTCACCATCACCATCCACAGGACAGAGTCGCAGTGCACCTGAATCAAAAGCAGTTCGATCTCTACAAACAAAATTTAATATTTAATATTATATAACCATCTTCATTCCGCACAAGCCCTTTCAATTGCTTATGTTCATTGTAATACCTGTAAAAAAATTTAAATATTTTTTACCCTTATCCCTATTCCACAAATGAGCCGAATAATTTTCCGGTTTCAAATAAAACTTAATTAAAAAAAAATCGTACGCCGTTTTCCAAATTTGAATTGGAAATTGGAACACATTAATTGAAGTCCTTAATTTATTCCTTTAGCTCACAATTGAGATTTGACATTTTGAGCTGAAAGTCCATTTATTTTAGTAGCCACTGTAAGGTTGCTTAATCAATATTATGTAACAGATGTAAAGTAATACATTTAAATTTTTATCTCAAATAAAGGCAAATCTCAAATTAGCTGTCAATTTTGAAAGTACGGAAAACTTTATTAATGACGATTGTTTTCTATGATACAAAATTCTGATTAAGAGGTTTTATATAAAAAAATGGCGCTAATTGTAAGAACAGACATTATCACATTTTAAACGGACTCCACGCCACAAAAGTTCATTTCCCTTGCAAGTCAATTGAAACGAAGTAAATTCTCAAAATCAGCGAGCAAATGAAACTTTGAGAAAAAAAATTATCAAATTAGCAGCAGAATCGTAAAAATTTAAATGCCCCAAAGTATAGCGTCATTTCTATATTTCATAAATGAATATATTTTTAGATCATTGAGTTATTCGGGTGGACTTGTAGGGCAGAATTTTAAACTCTCTCTCTGTCAAAGGGAGCTGACGCCTGGCGCATCCAGGGTGAATTTTCACAACCTTGTGAATGTTAGAGACGATGGCAATAATAGAAATTTCTTTGAATAGATTCTTCAGGTACCTTTTAATTTTTGATCTCAATTTCTCTCAAGATTTTGATTTGCATTATTTCCGTCCTAGGCGTAGATAGTTTAAAAATGTGTGCCACGATATGTGTAAATAATTACGACGTTTCATTGTTGCAATAAGTTATAAGAATTCACACCGAGAGGAGGCAGTGCTAAATTTTCAGATTAAGAAAGTATGTTAACGCAGCGCATGAGAAATGAAAACTCACACATTTGGGGAAAATCGAACGCTACATCAATAGAAAGTTTAAGTAAGCATCTTAATTATATTTCAGCAGTCACAGCTTGCGATAAGTTTGGCGAGAAAATTATTCTTCCCCAAGTTGTAATTTTCTCACCAAACAGAGGGCAAGTGTCATAAAAATATAATTTACACACAATCAAAACGATTTAATAATAATTTTTAGGAATTGATAGGAGCTCTGGAAGCATCGATCAAAGTTAATATCTTAGGATTTGCACTGACTCCGAAAATAAGCTGTTTACAAAACAAATATTAGGTGTGGATAAATGTTTAGGTGGTAGATAGGTGTGATTGGTTGTTGGTGTGCAATCAATGTCAAAAACAGATTCACTCTGAAACTCTTCATTGCGAAACGACCACGCTGACTTGCCCACTCCAAATGCTCATCCTTTGTCAAAAGATCAAAATACTAATTTAGCGCGTAAGTCATGTTTATCAAACATCTTAGAATTAAAATTATGTAACGTTCGACGTATAAATAAAATATATTTATGTTTAAGCGATGAGTACAATTTGAACTGACTTCAGCAGTTTTCTCTTCTCTCTCACTACACGTGTATAATCGAATCAGAGAAGCGGCTCATTCATCTCTCATGATTTTAATCTGTGTTTTCGCTCTCGGGAATTTTGTTTCGACAAGACTTTTAAAATAAATGCTCTCTAGGTTTATAAACTAATGAACTGTGATTCAAACTACCTATACGAATGTTAATAAAGCATAAATTTTCCATTAAAAGCATCTGATGTTTCATTTATAAAATAACCAAAATAACTTCAATAATTTTTGGAGATGTTATTTTTAGAGTGAAAAGTAAAAAAAAAAAATGTGCTACGACTTTAAAACAGAAATCAATCTTCTTAAAAAGTTTTTTATTTGTCGGAAAGAAGAACATTGAAGAATTTCTAATGAAACAGAATTGCCTAGTTCTAAAATATGCCACTGATGGCACACTTTGTTTCACCGTCTTGCGGCGGCTAATGTTGTATGTTACTATCTGCAGCAAGGTGGCAGCACCTACACTGAAATCATGCAGTCCGTTCCTGGTATATATTAAAGGTATTATGGTAAGAACTATCATTCAACACTTCTAACGGTTTAAAAAAAATCTCCCAGCATTATATATATTTTTTTAAATTTATATAAATTTTCCTAGAAAATTTAAATCCGACAAAAGGGATATTTTTTTATAATATTTAATGTTATGTAATTATTTAATTTTTGACGACATTCACGAAAGTGGTAAATAATAAAATTAAATCAAACTTTCTTATATAAGTAATAATCTAGCGTAAAATATTAGTAAATTTTGTTCCAGAATAAAATTTCCCCTTTTCTGCGGATGCGTTTTTCTTGCTGCACATCCCGTTAATTCCAAATGAACTTTAAAATTGCAAATCTCCCCTCGAGAAGGAATAAATTCTCATTAGTGACCATAGACGCAGAAAATGGGCAGCTTTCTTTTTCACCTCGACCCCATCAAATCTCCGCGCTCAGTGTTCCTTGTCGAATAAAAACGAAAAAGATAAAAGTGGGTGCAAATGGATTTTTGGAAACGCACTGTGGGGACGAAATGATATGCAGTGGAAAGGGCGCTTTAAATTCCCCAACACATTACACCTCCATTGAAAGAAAAAAATCCATCCCCTGTTGGCCCCCGTATATTTATTTGAGAGCACGCGTTTGGACTTTTAAACAGCTCGCGAGACGCAGCTGTACCTGAAATAATGGGCCAGCGTTTGAATTCAAATTTAAAGGGATCCGTAGGGGGCGAGGGGAGGCAGCAGAAGTGGATTTTGACCGTTGGAGCCGGTTCTTGATGTCGCGGCGGTGGGGGGGGGGGGGGAGAAATGGCATCACACGGACGAGCGGGCGCGCATTACAATAAACGGAATCGGCCGAAATGCACCTGCTTTGGCGAAACGTATACGCGGCTGCTTGCATAAATTAAGGGGTGGCGCAATGCATACGTAGGCACGTGCGTCCGATACATCTCATAAAATAGCGCAGCGACTGCAATGAATACACCGCACAGCATCGCGGTATTATTGTTTCGGCCGCAGCAGCAGCTGTTGCATTTTGTATTATTATTTTGCACGGTATCCACGTTCGACTTGGGTGTCAGCTTGCGGAAAACCGTTGTTGCGCCTGACAAGGGTGCGGTGGGCTCCTTATGTGATTAAATGCTGGGCGTTGCGATGCGAAAGACTGCTAAAAGAAAACTCAAGTGACTTTTGGAATCAAACGAGTAAAGTTTAATTAACTTGGCAATCAGAATTTTATTTCTGCGCCATTAATTTTGTGTAAGTTGCTTTTACTAAATAAAAAATTATATCTAAATGTATTAAATTTTAAAATTAACTTCATGATTGTTTAAATTGAGAAAAGAAAAATGTGCACTCGAGAGAGGCCATTTATTAAATTTTTTTATTATTTATTTATTTATTCATTTCCCATTCAGATACATGAAATACACAACATCTTACATCAAGTCAATACACAAAAAATTAAATATAAAGTACTGAAAATACATGTTAAGAATGTTGGTTAGAGGGGGGTGAATGGAGAAATGGCTCTTCGCTAGCAAACAACTTGCTAAAGCACGGCGCACTCTCCTTCGAAGAAGAGCACACCGGCCGCTAGAGCCATTGGTCAGGGGGACTACGAATTTTAAATTTATTAATTTTATATTTTCCAGCAAAGCAATCAAAATTGATTCGTTGATTGCTTATAAAGATGTGTATTACGTTAAACTTTTATTTTTCAATCATTTTTAACGTTATTATTATTATTGTTTCTTTTTTAAATTTTTTTCTTTCTATTTTTTACGTTCGATTGTCGAAAACAATTTACTTTAAAAGGAATTGTTGAACAAAAACGGCACCAACACTAGCAAAAATTTTTTTAATAAGTTTTATTTGCTTTGTATTAAAGACTTTAAGGACTCCTTATTGACATAGTCAAATCAAGTCTTTACAACAATGGTTTGTTAAATTTCAAATAATAGCCGAAAATGGCTTATATTGTTGTAAAGACTTGATTTGACTATGTCAACAAGGAGTCCTTAAACTGCCTTTAAATTTAAAAAATAATAAAATTATGACTTATTTTCGATTAATTTAAGTTTTGCTCGTTTTAAGTAACGTTTAAGATTCATTTAAATAAAAATTATTGTCTAGCTGAGCTAAAATATTGGGTCCTCTCCTCTCTATTATAAAAAAGCTAAAAGTGAACTTCTTCACAGGCGTTATTCAAGGGGTGACAAAGCAAAACCAACTCCACCCAGTAATTTATCGCCCTTGGGGATGTGCAGACACGATTTAAATCCCGTATTTTGCGGCTGCAGGTGCATCTGTGTCGCATTTTTCTTCCAAAAACAAGAGACACGTCTGCCTGGCACATGCACTTCGTCGGCCGCCTAATAGCACAACAAGGGTTAAGGATTCCGATTTCTGCGCCGCACTTTGCTTCTGCGTTAATTAGCTTTCCGTGTACAGATCGTTTCTCGCCCCCCTAAGACTACGGAGGACATAATGAGGCGAGAGCGCTTTTGTTTTTCAATTTGCCCCGGCGTGGATCAGACAGTTTGGTGAAAATACACATGAGCGCAGACAGATAGCTGCTGCCGTAAGAGAAATGCGCGCCGGCACTTGAGAGCTTTAATGTCGCCTGCAGAAATAAAACTGCTCGTGAATGCATGTAGGGAAAAGCGGTCCAGGGGGAAGAAGTGCAGCGAGCGCAGGCATCTGCTTTTGAGAGCAAACACACATATTAAAGGGTAGCTCGGCCGGTTGGTTGGGGGTGGTCGGCCCTGCGCCGCGAAATTCTTGTCGGACCCGCAGGGAAATTGGCCCGCGTGTTTCGTCTATGTAGTGCGATGCTAAACTACACGCACTTAGGCTGTGGCTTCGCGCACTTTTGCTCGCTCGTGTTTTATGGTGCGAAATGATGGAGAGGGTAGAAAATAAAGGGACCAAACAACGCGACTTCCAGAGTTTACAAATAAAAGCTGTAAACAAGAGACGTTGGAAAGTTCAAAAAAGGAAATAATTTATAATCCTATCATGGCTACATATTTTATGTAAAAAACAAAAAGTAAATTTTGAAAAAAAGAATTAATAAAAAAAGGTTGTACTGTCAAAAGATACAGAGAAAAAAAATGAACTAATGACAAATTAAAACAAAAATGAAATTTTAGAGAAAATAACATAATGAAATTGAATAATTGTCTTTATTTTTAAATGAGGATGAAGATTTTAAAATTTCATAATAAATAAATAAAATAAATGGATGTTTTTTAAAACCCCTTACAATTTTACTTTTATGAAACGTTGAATTATTTTATTTTTATTTGAATATATAATATATTTATTTTCTTGTCAAATTGTTCCAAACATAAAAAAAACTTTTCAAAATAATTAATTCAGAAACAGTTAGTTTGATTCCAAAATTAATTAAATTAATGCTTCTAAAATTATTTAGCACTTTTGAATTTATTTGCTTTTGTAGGGATAAAATAACCAAATAGCAAATGCCAACGGTGCTCTGGACCTCACGGACGCTTCTTGGCACTGTAATAAATGCGCTATGCGACTGCAATATGTTATACACTGCGCTCTCCGCAATGCACTTACGGAGACTTTTTATCCGCCGACATATGGCGCGAGTGCGAGATGAGCCGCTCGCTGCAAGTTGCCATAAAATTCATCACGCGAGATGAAAGATGAGGATCATGTCCGCGGGTGCAGTTCCACCCTAGCTGCATAGCAAACCAAAAGAGGGCTAGCTGCATTTTGGGTGCGAATGCATATTCCACTTTTATGCAAATCCAATTCCCTCTTGGTCAATTTCGAGCCGCACCCTCGCACACGATATGTATTTACAAGTTGGGGTGCAGTGCCAAAATATTGAGCGATACGTGCAGCTGGAGAGTAAATAATGTTCGGCGTAATATTGCGAAATGGATTTATACTTCGGGGGGTATATTCAGAAATAAAGTCCAATGAAGCGAGGCCACATCTGCTTTGCAACCGTTTACTCGATGGCTGAATTCGCGCGCCTTTATGGGTCTTTTGTGTAATGAGATTTTAAATTGATTGTGTGGGGTGGATACGCTTTCTATTAAAATTATTCGAATTTCCCGGCAAGAAGCATTGTCAAAGGACTACATATACCTGTTTTAGTTGACAAAAAATTTGTAACCGCACATAGGTTTAGAAAAAAGAATGATATTAAATAATTTTGCTAAGTTAACATATTTTTTGGAACAACGAATCTTTAAAATTGCCCGATAGCTCTTTTGAAGCAAAGTTTTAGAAATCTTATATGAATTTGTAGAAATTCAGATTTTTTTAAAATTAATTTTAGAGTATTGACATTTTAAAATGGTTTATGCTTTGTATTTTAATGTATTTAATAAAAAATATATTTAAATAAGAAAATAAATAAATAAAGAAATTAATTAATTTAAAATTAAATGATTTTTTAATTTTATTTAAAAGCCTTTCAAAGCTATATAAATTAGTTGTTTTGTTTTAAAGTATATTTAAAATTTTGTTTAATTTATAAATTAGGAAGTTCCTATTATATAAATAATAAGTTCCATTTTTTTCCAGGATCGATGATACAAAGATAAGGAATATTTTAAACTTTTGAGAATCAGAAAAGTGCTTTATCTTCACATTGGATTTCGTTTAATGGAAATTTTGCCAGAC